CGATACCAAAATTAATAAAAATTAGTGAATTATTATGAGAAATACACGTATCGCGTAATTCAAATATTATTATTATTTGATTTTTTTGGAAAATTATGGAAATCGGACGTTAGATTGAGTACGACGCAGTTTATTTAATTACTGAATGTAATATAGAAATAAAATCATCAAACGTTTAATTGTTTTTGAAATATTTTTATTGTGTAATTAAAAATCGAACATTTTAGTAGTGACTGAATTTGTTTTAATTAATAAGACTTACGGGATGGCCGTACAGAAATAATATTATTAAAAACCAAAGTTGTGACAAAAAATATTAACACCGTCTTGAACTCTTTCGTCAATCATCTCGCTGTTTTTAACATTAAAATACTTCATCGCACGTAAATAATAAGTAAATGAATCGATGTAATTTTTTATGAATGGTTCATCCCAGTTTTGACTAGTATGCTGATATATATAGACAAAAAATTCATTTTTCAAGTCAAAGTCTTGTAATAGAAATTCAAACTTTTGATTAATACTTTCAAAATCGTACTTACTACTATTTGGAAATTTAAAATCGTTTTCATTTATCTCCAAATGTTTTAAGGATTCCTTTAAGTGTTTGAGATGTTCAAGTATAACATTATTTTCATCGTTGAAATATTCCAGGGCATTGGCCATACATGTTATTAAAGGATCGAAATGTATTAAAGTGTGAAAGTATTTTTTGAGACTATCCATTTTCTTTTCGTTATCGTCTAACTTTTGATAATAATATCCCAGTGTTCTATACTTCACATAAAATGCGTCAATTAATAATATATAGATTGATGTTAAAACAATTGAACTTTTATGTTTTTTTTCTTCAAAATTGGGCTCGAATCTTAAATGACTAGGAATAATTACTTCAGGGTAGTTTTCATTAGTGTAAAATATATTATCCATTGTAGACATCCAACCACTTTGCATAAGCTTTCTGTTAAACAATTCTTCTTCCGATTCATCAAAAATGTCTGATTTTTTAGAACCATGACAACTTTGCAAAGCGACAATTATCAATAAAATAAGTTTCATTGTTGGCTATTAAATTACGTTTAAAATTTGATCAAGTTTATAAGCATTTTTCTTATGCGTTTTACTTAAACTGTAGTCACAAATAGAAAATGAAAAATAAATTTTATATGATGTCATAATAATTTTTTTTAACAACATATTTAGCATTGATGATTTACTATTGAAATGTACATTAAATATAAAACTTTGAATATTAATATTAAGTTTGAAATGCGCCGTATTTATTTTTTGTTGTTACAAAACTTAAACGATTTGACTACTTTTAATGGATTTCTTAATTATATAAATATATACATATACGCCTAATAACAACTTCATTGTTTTTTTTTATATATATAAAAATTCTGTTGAATTTTCGAAAAATATAGAATATTTGTCTAGTGCATAAGATTTTTTTTAAGTGAACAACAAATAATGTGTTCAGTAAGTTAGGAAACGGGTTTCTATTGTTCTCATTGTTTGTAACAATTGACCTTACTTGCTGAACACTATGTATAATTTGACTCAGTACTTATATCAGCACTGATCTATATGTACGCAAAAGCGTTATCACCCCAAACATATGCCAGTTTTTGTTCAGTACTGATATTCGCTACTGCACCTGTTGTTAATCTCTGTAGAAATTATGACTGGGAACTGAATATTGAATGTATTACTCCATTATTTTTTGAAATTTCATCTTGTAGAATACAGAGAAAATACCCATAAGCTTTTTATACAAATAATGCTCGCGTGGAATTAAAAAAAAAAGGAAAGAAAAAAAAACTAAAGTCCTTAGATTTCATTTGACGTAGTCTCGTCACGTATTATATATATATATATATATATGTGTGTGTGTGTGTGTATACATATATGCAGCACACGCGATTTTACGAGTCCCTCAAGTTTGTATGTGTACATTATACGCCAGAAACGTATAATGTTACTAACGCGTTTCTTTTCTTGTTGAAAGCTTTTCCCTGTTTTGCTTGTTCAAAAAGGATTTTTTTGTCTATCAAAAACTCAACACTAACTACATTTTTATGTAGCTCGTGTAATAGTAAGTTATAGTTGGATTTTTTCCATTTGAATGGAAAACCCAGCGTATGATACACCCTCTGTGTTGTAGTAATGTAATAAATTTAAAAAAAATAAGAGAAATGTGTGGCTATTATTTATATATACCATTGTACTTATTTCAAATGAATATAATACGAATGAGACCAAAGTCGAGATGACTGTATGCATACATCAATTGTTAAAATAAAGTAGGGGTATGAAAAAACTGATATTTTCCTCCCTATGTGACGATCATAAATGCTGTGCATACAATTATTATGCTTTATAAATCATGTAATGTAATTTTTTCGTTTTGCACAGTAATGCTGTAGTGCACCCGTACGTGCAATGTGACATTTAAGCCTAAAACAGTCAAGGTGTGTTTTATGACAGGGCGCATAAATATTGATGACTAGGGGTGGAAACTGCACAGTAGTATAATATAGTTTTTATTGTGATATAGGGATTGAAAAATCATACTATCCACGCGTGTGTTTGTGTATTTTGTATATTCGAATAATAACCTTATTTTAGTAGTTAAAAATTATGCTCTAGAGAATTAAAAAAAAAAGTATATCTTGCAATTGGGTTGAAATTTACAAATCATATGAATGGAAATTGTATATATATATACACAATTAAATGTATTAATATTTAACATATTACACTTAATTAGTGTATTATTCATAAACACGCTCATACAGTTGATCTGATAAATGCTTCTGAAAGCAAACTTTTATTTATAAATATTCCCTGATATTAATTGAAAGTTAAATTAAATCTTTACTGAAAAAGGCTATAGATGGAACTTTGATGTCGTTTAACTTAGTGACTACATCTTGGGCTGTTCTGAGGAGTGACACTTCCAATACAGCAATATTAATTGTTGTTTTACTCGGAAATGCTTGGATTCTAAGACAGTTTGCTCCCTACCCCCCAAAAACATAGAATTCTTATAAAGATAGTTAAAATAATTATTTTTATCCCTTTCATATTTTTTGTTTCGGGATGACACTTGAGCATACACCCGCTGAATTTATTATTATTTTAATTTTATTTATAACACATTTAAATATATATTTTTGGTATAATTTCAACTTCGAAAATGTAATGCAAATACTATTTAATATTTAATTTTTGTATAATTATGTATTGTAATCATAACATGTTTAATTATAATTTATTCGGACATTCTCACAAGATGGTTACAAATGACTAAAAAGACCGCTCGACTCTAAGTAATAAACATAAAATAATGTTTCTATTTATTATCGTATTTCAAGTATAAATTATTGTAACGATCTGTCTGGCAGGTTTATCAAAATGAAATAAACACTTTTAGTTTTCGACAGGTTTCTAGAATAAATAAATTTTTAATATCGATTATTATTTCTATTAAAAATAGTTTAATTAAAAGTTTATTGTTTTTTTTTTTTATATAAACTCAATAGTAAATAAGAAGTATTGGGAATTTCTCTATTAAAATAAGTACTTATACAAAATATTACACTGATGCCAACTACATTTAATCTAAATCCACTAATATTTATTTGCGTGTCGCCCTCTATAGGTTAAAATAATAAATTTATATATATGCATGTAAAGACATGGCCGAATTGTATAATATATATATTTTTTGTAATTCTAAGATATACTATTTCATTTAAACTACAAGTCAGAACAAAAGTAAGTATTGTTAAATTATCAATAATTCTATTTTTTTACATTAAATATGTTTTTAAATTTATTTGGCATATTAGAAGTGAAAAATACATTGAACTTTTAATAATAGAACATTTAATAATCAGTACAAAATATCTGTTCACACTTAAATAAACAGGATAAATAAATATAATGTTGAACACATTATATTGTATACATTATTCATGATTTATTTATTTTACACATTAATAATTAATGTGTTAATAAGTTATTAATAATTACTTTATAAATATAATTTTAAATTGGAGTTTAGATGGTGGCGGGTTTCACAAAACTTAATTTAATACATTTCAATAAAAATGTGTTCTTTCTAAATGGTCAATTCGTTAAATTTGTTTACTTAATAAACCGTATGAAAAGAATGTTGTGATTTAACTAGAATTTCGTTGACAAATAAGGAGTTTTCAAATTACTATTGAACATACAATATAAATATATGTATGTCAAATTGGTTAATAAATATAAATCATAAATTTAAGGGAGAATGTTTTACGTTTAATAACATGAATACTATTTAATAATTTTTTAATTTATTTCAACGATGTTTACAATTAATAATTCTTTTGTAATATATATTTTGTAAAACATGAAAATTATGCTATACTCGCACAAGTTAACCTTCAACGCCATCTATCAAAAGACAAATAGGAATTTGACACAAATGTTAAATAAAGAACGTTAATAACGTTTTAATAATGACATAATATTAACATTAATAATTTTCTTATGAGAAAATATTAAATAATGAAAAAAAAGAAATTATTTGCATTTCATCTTAATAAAACACAAATTATTTCATCTACCACATAGATAATTCTATCACTAAATAATTTTAACTCTTTTAAATTAAATTTTCGTCAATTCTTTATATAATCTACAAGACATTTTGGATTTTAGAAATTTTCCAATCGTGACTCTAGGTCAATGATCATTTAGAATATAAATAGAAGGGTGTTACACAATATGTAAATAATTATGAAGTAAAATTAAATTACAAGTAATAATAATTTTAGAAATTATTAAGTAAATATTGTAATTTAAAAACACTGCAGTAATAAAATGTATATATAAATAAATATGTATACTCTTATATGTCTTTTTAAATTGAGTAAATACTTATATAAATAATTTGTTCATGAAAAATGTTATAAATTTACATAAATTTTTAGTTTTACTTTATTTAAAAAGGATTTTCTATTTAATAAAGTGAACTTGATAGTTTGTTTTTAAAGCTTTAAAATGTTTTGTAAAAATAATCATATTATCTTAGTTGCAATAATATTGATGTGGGTAAGTTGTGTTAAATCTCTAAAAACTGGTTATAATATAATGGAAAATGACATTGAAAATATAAAGTTATTAAAGTGTTCTTATTTGTTTAATGCAATATTTAACATGAAAGTACATAAGATAAAATTAGAAAACCACAATAAAAAATCGGTATTAGAGGAAACATTTACTTATGCCTTTTTATTAAAAACACAAATGAGTACATTATTTAAAGTAGAAAGCTTAGGATCTTTATGGCTACTTAATCTATATTTATTATATTTAAGAAATATTGTTCGTAAATTAGATTGTACAAACAAAGAGAATTATGATAATATTTTGAATACATTGGATTATGTAATAGCAAAATTAATTAAAGACTCTAAAGAATGTCCTAAAGGAAGCCAGTTTTTTATAAGTGATTTAATGATAAAGGAATATAGCAACATTGGTATGCCAAATGTTTATTCATTACAAAAACAAACAAACAATGAGCTTGAGAGATTAATAGCAGAAAATCATAATGAATTGCCTTGGTGTAGAAAAATAATGAAAAGATTAAAAAAAGATGTGTTGTTTATGAGAATATTATTGGAACCAATTAAATTTAATCACATGATGATTACATATAATGTTCAAGTCAAATGGGGTCAAGCTCAAACCAATATAGATAAATTTTATAAAGCAATCAGATACTTTTCATGGATTAATAATAATTTCCAAGATCTCAAAATATACTATAATGCTGTTTTTGGTTTTTTGAAAATTATTATGTTAAGATTAACTTGGAAACATATTTTGTACCTCAAATATCAAGATTTAAATAATATTAAGCGCCTTGTTGACACATGGATTGTTATTTTAAACAATTTTTCATCTACATTACATTTGGAAAAAGACGTTATGATTAACACAGTGATAGGAAAAATGATTTATTACATCGAAGATCTTAACGTAGAAACTATGGTTTCAAAAGATGATCTAGAAATATTAAAATTTCACAGAAATTCTATGGATAGTTTAATAAAAGTTATAAAACCATTCATGCAAAATCTTTGTGTAGATTTAGACTGTTATGCGACTTCAGAAATGGTCCTCGATGGAAATGAATTAATACCGTTCAATAAACATAACTTCTTATCAAAACCACAACATGTCATTGGCAATTATAATACCATTATTTATTACAGTATAAGGTACGCTGAAGATTTTATAAATTTTATTAAATATCATTTGTATGATCAAAGTAGGGTCATTATTTATGCTTTCATTGATTATATTGAAGAAATAACTAATTGTACAACATTCGATGATAATGATATCAGTAACAAAATTACTTAGAAATTATCGAAAGTTTAATTCATTTTTTAAATTGTTAATTAAAATTTAAACGTTTTTAGAATAAAAGTAACTTACAATGGTTAAATTATATATTCATTATAGTATATTAAAATATTTTATTATAATTTTTTTTTCTGGCAAACTAATTTTAATATGTTTTTCTCTTTTATTTTTATGACAAATAAGTCACTAAATTAGGATGTTGTATTTATTTTTAATTTTGACAATAAAGAATATTTTGTGTCGTATATAAAAAATAGCAATTCGTTTGTTTAAAAATAGTCATTAAAAAGGAATTTTGAGATTGTTTATATTATTTACAATGCAGAATGTATTGCGTTGTACATAAATGATTAATAATAATAGGTTGTTTTTGTTGTATTTATTTCATAGGCTGGGTGGGTTTAAACAAATTGTTTGATTTCCAAAATTAACTTTGAAAATTCTATAGGCATAGATGGAATTAGTGAAGATATATGAAAAATGTTGTGCAAATTATGAAAAATTTCTCTATAATAAAAAAAAAATGTTGTGCGAAATTCTACTAGTATTAATAACATAATTTTTAAAAATTGTATTTTAGTACTCTATGCACAGGACTTATACAATACTAATTTGATAATCCGATTGTATATGAGACAAAATGAATGCTGAATTACTACTCTTTATTTTTATATTGACAACAACAAAATAGAAACTTATTTAGCTTGACTGGGAGATAGGGAATATTTTATAACGTTTTAATAGCTTATATAATATTAAAGATTCTAATTTTCTTAGAAGAAAACATTAAGTAATGAAATAAAAGAAATTATTTGCATTTTCTCTTAATAATAGGCAAATTATTTAATGTACCACATAGATAATTTTATCCCTAAATAATTTTAACTCTTTTAGATTAATTTTTCATCAATTCTATACATAATCTACTAGAAATTTTGGATTTTAGAAATTTTCCAACCGTGACTAACTCAATGATCATTTAGTATATAAATAGAAGTGAGTTACATAATACGTTAATAATTATAATGTCAAATTAAATTACAATTAATAATAATTTTAGAAATTATTAAGTAAATATTGTAATTTAAAAACACTGCTAGTAATAAAATGTATATATAAATAAATATGTTTACTCTTATATGTCTTTTTAAATTGAGTAAATACTTATATAAATAATTTGTTCATGAAAAATGTTATAAATTTACATAAATTTTTAGTTTTACTTTATTTAAAAAGGATTTTCTATTTAATAAAGTGAACTTGATAGTTTGTTTTTAAAGCTTTAAAATGTTTTGTAAAAATAATCATATTATCTTAGTTGCAATAATATTGATGTGGGTAAGTTGTGTTAAATCTCTAAAAACTGGTTATAATATAATGGAAAATGACATTGAAAATATAAAGTTATTAAAGTGTTCTTATTTGTTTAATGCAATATTTAACATGAAAGTACATAAGATAAACTTAGAAAACCCCGCTTATCATGTACTACGGACAATAAAATTAGCAGATAAGTATGGAACAGCATTAAAAAGACAAATGAGTACTTTATTTAATGTAAATGGTATTGAAATAGAATCTTTATGGCTAGTTAACATGTATATGTCAGATTTAAGAAATTTTATATCTAAATTACGTGAAATAAACAGAGACGATCAATTATACAAAAATGTGTTAAATACATTAAATTATGTAATAGAAAAGTTAATTGAAGACGCTAAATATTGTGCTGAAGGAAGCCACTTTTTTATAAGTGATTCGACGATAATGGAATTAAAAAGTTGTGGTATGACAAAAGTTTATGAATTACAAAATCAGAAAAACAAAGAACTTGTTAGTTTGATGAAAGAAAATCACAACAGCAACGAATTGCCATCATCTAATGAAAGAACTGAAATGTTTTCAAACTATATTTTGTTCATGAGAATAATTATGGAACCATTAAAATTTAATCATTTAAAGAATACTTATAATGTTCAAGTCGAATGGGGTAATATTTTACGTAGATTAGATGTACTTTATAGGACATCAAAATCATTTTTATGGAGTAATAATAATTTCCAAGATCACAAGAGATACTATAATGCTGTTTTTGGTTTTTTAAAAATTATTATGTTAAGATTAACTTGGAAACATATTTTGTACCTCAAATATCAAGATTTAAATAATATTAAGTACCTTGTTAGAACATGGATTGTTATTTTAAACAGTTTTTCATCTACATTACATTTGGAAAAAGACGTTATGATTAACACAGTGATAGGAAAAATGATTTATTACAACGAAGATCTTAACGTAGAAACTATGGTTTCAAAAGACGAGCTAGAAATATTAAAATTTCACCGAAATTCTATGGATAGTTTAATAGAAGTTATAATACCATTTTTGAGAGATCTTTGCGTAGACTTAGACTGTTATGCGACCTCAGAATTCATTCTCAATGGAAATGAATTAATACCGTTCAATAAACATAACTTCTTATCAAAACCACAACATGTCATTGGCAATTATAATACCATTATTTATTACAGTATAAGGTACGCTGAAGATTTTATAAATTTTATTAAATGCATTTTATATAAGGAAAGTAGTGACGTTATTTATGCTTTCAAAAATTATATTGAAGTATTAACTAAAATTAAATGACCATAGAATATAAAATTTAAGATTAGGTTCAATTGATCAAAGTAGCTGTAATAAAATTGTAATAATATAATACAATAGTATTAATATATAAGATTCATTTATGTGGAAAATATTTAATTTATATAAAACTGAATGCTCAGTTTTTATAGTTTAAATGTTGTCTAATATTATAGCGCATTGTATGCCTTGTGTAATATTTTCAAAAATGTTGGTTTTATAAAACATTTTTTTTTTAAATTATTCTTGCCAAAGGTTTCTAATTTAATCAGACTAAATATTTCAAATACATTTTATTCTTGATGTTTTCGTTAGACAATTAGAAAAAAAGCAAATTTTAACTCCTTGTTATTACTGGATTTGAAATGGTACGCCATAAAACAAGGAAATTATATATTTCTTGTAAAAAAGGTATAAGTACGATTTAACACAAACTTATGTGTTAATTTAAATTATAGTAGAAAAATTTGTCATTGTTTGGTTAATACATTATTTCAGTATATCTAAAAGTATTTATAAAATATGTTCACAAACATTACTATTTTTTTTATTCAAGAAAAATGTCTTGCAAAACTATCATGTATATTGTAATTATTCAGGATTTATTATCTTCTGAAACTATTTGAATATTTAAAAAAATTTATTTCAATATGAAACTGAATAGATAATAAGTAAATCTTAATTAAAAAAATGATACTAATTTTTTAAAGTTTATTATTCTTTTAATGAAATATTTTGAAACAATTTTTTTAATTCTTCTGAGTGTTGGCAATTTTTCATTTCTATTAGTACAAAAATTATGTCTACTCTATTTAAGGCCAATTCGATTTGACTAAGACGAATTAATAGTTACTTTTTATTGTCAATAACATGTTGAATATTAAAAATTTGTAAAAATTTTACGAGACTAAAATTAATAAAATATGATTTTCTAAAAGAACATTCCTTTAATTTTCCACAAAAACAAATATTTAACGTTTTAGAAGGAGAAAACCGAAGAAAATACTAAGAAAGTCTAAAAATTCACGTATGCTCTATTCTGATGAATTTGCTTTTTTTATAAGAGAATCAGTTGATAAAACAATCAGAATGATGAAATGAGAAATTAGCATTTAAAGATAAAGTAAATGGTGAATGGCGTGGTAGTGTTTTAATTGTATATTGTTTTAGAAAATAGATAATATAATAAATCGTGATCTTAAGTGCAGGATGGAGCAGAAAAATATAAATAATTTGAATTAAAAATGTTATAATATCGCTATAACACAAAAAATATTTTTAAAGTACCAAACGTTTTTCATTTAAAATATATAAATAGTAATATTTTTGAAAAAAATTTATATGATTTAAATAGCATTTATTTCTTTTGTGCATTACCATCTGTTCAAACATGTAATCATGTATATTTTATTGTTATAATTAGAGACAAATTTCAGAAATAAATTGTTTTAAATAAAATTTATTGTATTTATTGAAGTTATTTAAGGAGCGAAAAAAAATTTAATATTAATGTTTTAATTTAAATTCTTGAGTTAATTTTGAACTCAAAGTCATTAGTTTTAACTAAAATTTTGTAGTTCTCAATAGATACAGGAAAGATTAGCATTTTTATCTTTTAATTCCGGATTTGGGATCATGTAGCAGGTTAATGTAACCTGTTGTCCTTATGTGTTCTCCTTATAGTATCTACCCATAGGCTTTGGTAGTCATCATTTTTTAAGGCGTGGTCGCAGCCATTGGTTCGGTTATACATACCACGTTTAAATTTCCCCGATAATCGATCCATCCCACACGTTCAGAAAAACGAACAATGTTGTTTCCATTTCCTTATACTCGTCATTCGACCTAACTTATCCCCTATGGTATTCAAGAGAGTTTATTCATAAATACGTGGATTCTTTTCTTGTTTGATTTTATCTTGTGCAGGCCAAGTACATAAATAATGAACATCTAATTTAAACACGACTTAAAATAACAAAAAATGGTGTAGTTAGAAGTTATTGTCCAAGTTACAGAATTGTAAGTAAAACAAGTTTTGATATTACGAGTAGATGGAAAATATAATAAGGCGCTTATTTTCGAAAGATTGATAATTGGAAAAAAGTACCTGGAGTATCTTAAACAAAATTAAATTACAAAAATTATATTGTGATTTGTTAGATTGCAATAAAATGCTATTAAAATGTACTTGGAGTTATCAATAGTGTTTATCATAAATCGGTTAAATGTACAGTATATTGGCAGACAAATTACATAATTTATTAGTACATTACAACACTCAACTATAAAACCCCATCAGTGAACATTATACTTCAAATTAAATAGTCATAATAATATTAATAAGAGGATAACCACAAATATTATGCTTTTTATAACTTAATAAACTTAACGGTCCTCGTTCGTTTGCAAATGATAAAATTAATACTTTTACACGGATCACATAAACATATATTGTAATTGCAACACATGTATCTTATTACCCTGAGATTTTATCTTTCCAAAATTTCCGTAAAATGTGCAAAAGTGAGGGGGATTTAGAAAACATAACATTGTACAATTTGTAAAAATTTCGCGTTGGTTAGTTAATTAGCAGACGTCCATCGAAGGATGATGTAAAAAATATTAACGACGTTCCCACACAAAATGTTTCGCCTAATTATTTGTTTATTTTTAACACCTCATAAAATTATCGGAACTATTTGAGTATCGCATTATGTGCAGCTCCGTGTACATTAATTAAACTCTTTAAGTAACAAAAGTAGTAGCCGTTTAGCGTTTTTATGTATATTGTTTCAATAAGTGATTTAAAGACTCCGCACCGCGCTCGCTGTATAATAGCCAATAAATGTAGCAAATAAAATTTAATACTATTCCAAGTGCCTTATTGATATTAAATAACAAGACGGGCCCATAAAATAGGGACACAGGCTCTTAAACAGCGGTAACATTTCTATAAAATTAACACTAAAGTGTCAAAATAATGCAACTTATGTATGTTATGTGTAATTTCTGTTAAAACAAACAATCGGAAACGCACACAAGTCGTGTAGACCGATTTGTAACCGAAATCAACTGTCGTTATTATAAAATTAAAAACTGTGATGCTGTTTAATGAACACATATTTTGTGCTCTGCGATGACTATTTTTAGAAAGCTGTTGATCATACAACACGTACAGTCCGCGTGCCACAGAAATATAAGAATTTAGTCGACTTTTATACATTTGGTAACAGCCTAGTAATACTACCGACGAACCTAAATTATTGTAAATAAGTGTCGGCCATTCAGTTTTATTTAATCCGTATAGGATTACGTAGACAGTGTTTCTTTTGAAGTCTACCGAGGACGAGTTTTTATAAATGAGATTACTTTATTGGACAGAAAATCGTATAAACATTGATCCCGGAGGCCTTTTCCTTTTAATAAAGCACTTTTTTTTTTGCTCTAAATTTCAGGGTCGCCTACAACAAAAGACGTATCATACAAAATACAATTATACGTAATGTGTTATTGTGATTGTGTTCAGCCGATTACGAATATTCGGAACGCATAATAAAACCGCGTTTACCCTTTCGATTTTACGACATCGGTCCTCCACTGCGTTCAAGGTCGTCAGACGCCTTTAACCGATCTTAAAAGTCTCGTTTAGATATCAGAAATAGTCGTAAATTGTGCGTCAACACTTCAAAATTGTCCTTGTTGGAACTGAAATTCAACATCGTAATATGTAATATTAGAAAGTGCTTCGTTCAATAAATTACTTGATTGCAAGTAATTGCCAATTTAATATTCTTTTAAACTCAATTATGTAAAAATTAAACGAATCAATGAACAACATGTTTATCATTTTATTACAATCCCTTAGATATTTTTATACCGGTAGATTGATTTATCATTTATCATAGGCTTATTTTAAAATAACAACAATGTTGAATAAAAAATCTAGACTTTGTTGAGTAGTAATTATTTCTCGGTTTATTAGTGATTAAATGTTTTTTCGGTCGTTCCCTTATCTCATTTAAGAGTATCGACTTTATTTTTGTATAATGACAATTTACATGATATGTAGTAATGTTCAAATCACTGTTTTTATAGGTGTCAACACTTAAATTATAAATTTACTAATTTTCAACATTTTTTATTTGGTTTTGTTGAATAGTATTTATTTCTTGACTTATTCAGTGGTTAAATATTTTTACATCTACCCCTTATGAGGATGCCAATTTAATTATTTTAAATCATAGTATACATGTTAACATACTAGTTTAAATGTTAGAAAATGATACTACTCGACAAAACCGGGTTCGGAAATGTTCGAAATTATTATTATTTTCGAAAAAGTTTAGTGGAAAATGATAAATCGTTTTCGACAGTACTTATTTAGTGCAGTTTTTAAGTAGTACTCATTTAATTTGAACTATTACCTACACTAAATGTTTTTGTAATATTTATAGCTTTGTTCATTCATGATAATATTAGCAAGATAAAATTGTACAACACAATTTTAAGTGTTGACGACTATAAAAATAGCGACTTGGACACAACTACATATCTAGCCATTGTGTATGACTTAAGTACGTGCTTCTACTTAAAATGTTCAGAATTTTTTTTAGTGCGTATCGCTATTACCGAAAAGACACAAACGCCTTATCACATCGGTTCCGGTAATTAACAACGAAACTTTAAAACATAATATTTATAAATGGTGAATATTACGATAACCAATCGACAAGCCCTCGATAGTTATAGTAAATATATGGAAACATAAAAATTGTTATTCGATATCTATTCTATACAACACACAATTGCGCTATTATCGCAAGTTTTCAGCTATTAAGTTTAAACATTTTTCTTAATGGCTTAATATTTCTTGAAAATATTAATTTTACCCGTTAAATAAACTCATTTGTTAGACCCCCAACTGCTAATCGTATATAATCTTTTCCATTAGTACTTAATTAATAAATAAAAAGTTGATGCAATTTTATTATATTTAATTAAATACCGATAGTAGTTATTATAAATACAACGTACATGTTTTATAAATGTGTATAAATAACAGNTAATTAAATACCGATAGTAGTTATTATAAATACAACGTACATGTTTTATAAATGTGTATAAATAACAGTTTCAAAATCTTAGTATATAGAGGTTTTGACAAAAGCTTATTCAATTTAAATTCAAATAAATTAAAAACAATCCAAGTATAAAATACTTCTTTCATTTACACCGAGGAAAAAAATATTTGTTNAGTTTCAAAATCTTAGTATATAGAGGTTTTGACAAAAGCTTATTCAATTTAAATTCAAATAAATTAAAAACAATCCAAGTATTAATTAATTATAATTAATCATACAAAATCTAATCGAAGGTTAAATTTGCTCATTTAGTAAGTAAAATGATTAAAATTTTATTTTAACGTTTTGAATTATTCCTATAATACGAATACTAAAAGTATGTAGTTGAATATGTCAGTACAAAGAGATAATTCATAAAAAAAGCACCAATATACACTTAAATAATTTTTTATTTTACAGACGTTGAAAACTGTAGAGAAATTTTCATTCCAATTTCGACTCAACATCATAAATATTCTTTAAAAAGAAACGATAAATTTTGAAATAAGAAAATACCTTTATAAGCTTCTCGGGCTGAGACGACTATAGATTTCTTGTTTTTTTTTTTTTTTTTTTTTATGGTGGCACACGTTCCACTACATACCTGTCATCTCTTTTACGACCGTGGCTCAATAATTTCGTCTTCACTTAACCCTTAATAAGGAGGTATGCGACCTGAACCAAGAATAATTCATTCCGGCTTCGACGTACGCTTAATATAATATTAGGTACACGCCATAGCTTCTTCGACCTCCGACCAACAACCAAATAAATATTCTCGTGATTCACAATGAATCATTTACCAGGTTCAGACTCCGTAGAGCAGTTATGTAATTATAATAAATTATTTAAATGTGTCGACCGCCCTCGGCATGGATGTAAATATATCATATGCGTATACATTTATATAAAAATTATAATATACTAACCCATTGGATCGTAAAAAAAAATAATACTAAAAAATTCCAAGATAAACCGTCTCTCTTCTCTTTGTTTCCACTGGTTGACAAGTTGACCGGTAGATGATTGTAGCACTACGTGAGCGGCCATGTTTTTGTATTTATTTATTTTTTATAAATATACATGCTAATGTGTGTATATAAATGCATATTGTTTATTACTGAACTCTTCCAATTTCCTATTTGTTCACTCTTTCGGTATTTTTTTTAGGTATATTTAACTATCGTGACTGGTTCCGTGTACAAAAGGACTACCTGCTGTATTTTGTTGCACTACCAATGATATTTTTTACTTACTTATGAGAACGCCCTCTTTCATGTTTTTTGGTGACAATAATTTTT